ATTCATTTGTAACTCCAGTTCCAGGGATCTGACACCCTCTGCAGGCATTGCAGAGTGGATGTACTTACATTAAAATAAAAAATAAAATATTTTTAAAAATAGTAGTAATTGGAAAAGAAGAGTTAAAATTATCACTATTTGTAGACAATGTGATATTATATATAAGAGAGCCCAAAAATTCTACCAGGAAACTACAAGAAATGATTAGTACTTTCAGTAAAGGGGCAGGTTATAAAATTCACCTACAAAAATCAGTACTCTTTCTAGATACCAATAACAAACCATCAGAAAAAGCAAAATAGTAGTAATTGGAAAAGAAGAGTTAAAATTATCACTATTTGTAGACAATGTGATATTATATATAAGAGAGCCCAAAAATTCTACCAGGAAACTACAAGAAATGATTAGTACTTTCAGTAAAGGGGCAGGTTATAAAATTCACCTACAAAAATCAGTACTCTTTCTAGATACCAATAACAAACCATCAGAAAAAGCATTTTCAAGGAAACCCTCCTATTCATAATAACCTCAAAAAATATTTAGGGATAAACCTAACCAAACATTAAAGACCTCTACAATGAAAATTTCATGTCTTTGAAATAAGAATGAAATTGGACCCTTATCTTTCACCAGGCACAAAAGTCAACTCCAAATCAGTCAAAGACTTCAATATAAAACCTGAAACTCTGAAACTACTAGAAGAAAACATAGGCAGTACCCTACAAGAATCAGGTGAATGATGGGACTTTCTTTTATTAATATTTTGTTTATTATATTTATTTTATGTGTTTGTGTGTATTGCCTGTGTGTAGGTAAGTGCACCCATGTCATGCAATGCCTGCGGAGGACTGAAGAGGCTGTTGGATTCCCTGGATCCATGTGGGTGCTGGGATTTGAACTTGAGTCTTCTGCAAGAAGCTGCCAAGTGGGTGATGGGATTTGAACCTGGGTCTTCTGCAAGGACAACTAGTTTTCTTAATCACTGAGCCATCTCTCTAGCCCCAGGAAAAGACTTTCTAAATTGGACATCAGTTACCCAGGCAGTAAGGTCAACAAACAACAAGTAGAACCTCATTAAGCTATAAAGCTTCTTTCTGTACAGCAAAACATACAACCAAGGAAGTGAAGAGGAAACCCACTGAGTGGGAGGAAATTTTCACATGCCACACATCTAACAGAGGATTAATATACAAAATATATAAAGAATTAAAAAAATAATTCAAAAAGCAAAGAAAAAAAAAACCCAGCCCAATACAAAGATGGACTATGAATCTGAACAGAGAGTTCTCAAAGGAAGAAATAAAAATGACTAAGAAACACCTTAAAAAAGTGCTCAGCATTCTTAGTAATTAGAGAAATGCAGACAAAGACCACTTTAAGATTCCATCTTACCCCAGTCAGACTGGCTAAGATCAAGAGAACAAATGGCAGCAAATGCTGGCAAGGATGTGGGGAAAGGGACATGCTCATTCACTGCTGGTGGGATTGCAATCTTGTGCAACCAGTATGGAAAGCATGGTGGAGAACTCTTAAGAAACTAAAAATGATAAAAATTTACCATATGAGCCAGTTATACCACTCCTTGGCATATACCTGAAAGACTCATTACTATAGACATACCTGTACATTCATGTTTGTTGTTGCTCTTTTCACAATAGCTAAGAAATGGAAACAACGTAAGTGATGAATGGAGTTCTGAGAAGAAAAGATGAAATTATGAAATTTGCAGATAAATGGACAGAACTAGAAATTCTTATACTAAGTGAAGTTACACAAACTCAGAAAGCAAACAACGTATGTTCTCCTTCATTTGAAGATCATAACACCAATCTCTGATATGCGAGTATTTATCTTGATGTTGTTTTAATGGAATGAAAGCATGAAGGTAAAGGGGTAGGGAAAGTGGAAGTGTTTGGGTGGGAGGGACATGCAGGGGACCATGGCGGTGGGGGAGGAGGGAACTCAGGAGCAGCTGGCATGGGGGAGGTGAGTGTGATGGGGGGAGTGTGAGGATAATGAGGGCACTTGGACTGGGGAGGGAGGAGGGAGGTTGAACAGGGGGAGAGAAGAGATAAAAGCAACATGGGTAGCATGGGAAGACAGAAGGAAATGTGTTGGCTTGAGAATCCCCTGAGAAATACGCATATGGTGTGTGAACTTTAGTGCATGTGCATACCTGGGGGCTGTGTGGCAAGAAGCAGAGTGCCAGACAGGAGAGACCTGCCAACAGTGGTTGATCAGAGTGGTCCAAGAGACTCCCAAAACAACACAAGCTATTGCCATAGCTCTTGGTTATCTCCCAGAACTCAAAGGTAAGACCCTACTTCTGAAGACAGGACATAATTTGGACATAGGACTTGGACCAATGGAGCAGGAACTGACCTGGAAGCCTTTTCACTGAAGACTAACTTTCATAGTTCTAGAGGATACTATGCAAGCTGCTAAGGGAGAAAATTAATCAATGGTCCAACTCAGTCTTAAAGCCTAATAACCTTAGTGACTGGAACTGTAAACTACCTCTATTGGTGCAGTAGTGGCACTGTTATCTGGGGGGTGATCAATAATTATCTATTTGGACTTAAAGCCCTCTCAATGGGACTGAATTCATGAGTGTCACTGTAAACACAGCCAAATACCTTTGGTTTGAGAGGTCACAGATCCTAGAGAAAACTCTATCTCTATCATATCTCTAGACAAATGAAATTTCTAACCATATCCTAAATATGGATCCTTATATTTAATTACAAATATACAGTACATCACTCATCAAATAAACTTGTTTTTTCCACAGAAGGAGGCTACTACAGAGTTCCACAATGGGTCACACACAGAGAATATATGTCTGAGAGATGCCCACCCCTTGGTGACATATCTATAGTGGAACCTCAACATCTAGGGCTCACAGGACATAGTGGAACAGCGGGTGGAGAGAATACTAGTGCATCCCTGGACTCTCACTAGAGAAGTTTCCTTATACAACAGAGTGGGACGCACACAGAAGGCACAATTGGCTAAGTTCTAGAGAATAAGAGACTATAGAGTGTCTGTGCTTGGATAAGACTCCTACATTAAATCTCACCCACCCACAGTTCAGGGACCATTGAAGGAAAGGGGGCGGAAAGATTCTAAGAGCTAGGGTTGGTCTATAAACATAAGGAAACAGAGTCTTTCAGGCCCCTGAAAACTTGTTCATGTGAACTTGTGGCAATGGTGGTGTTGAGCACAGACCCATGCCAACTCAATCAGACAAGGGCCTAGAGTGGTGTGAGGGAAATGGGTGGTGGGCTGACCCTAGTCTGAGAACTGATGGAGACTGATTACTGCTGGGTGAGGAAAGTAGACCTTCCTTAAGATGTTTAGATAGGTTGAATAGACTCCAGTTGATGAACTTGCAACAAAGGAGTACTGGGTAAAACCTTGACAAGATGGGACTTAGCGTGTATGGCGGAATACAAGAGGCCTGGTTGGGAGGAAGTGGGGATGGAGGCATAAACTGGGGAGGGGGCTCTCAATTTGATTAAGAATTGTTGTATGAAATGTACAAAGCTCAATAAAAATATGTTAAAAACAGAAAACTTTTTCCTAAGTGGAGTGACTCAAGTATTCTGAGTCACTCTGACAGCATCCTGTACCTGAAACTCCAGTCCAGATCCCAATCGAGCAGGTCAAATAAAGCTGTTTAAAACCAAAAAAGAGAAAAAGAAAAAAGAAAAAAAAAAGGAAAACAGGTTTCCTTAGTTTTGTATCCATGTATATGCATGTACTGTGGTGTGTAGGTCAGAGAACAACTTGTGGAAGTCAGTTCTATCCTTCCATTATGTGAGTTCTGGGGATTGAACTCAGGTCCTGAGGCTTGGTTGCAGGCTCCTATAACCCATTCAGTCATCTTGCCAGCTCCTCTGAGTTTTGTTTTTGTCTTTTTTCAGACAAGGTCTCCTTGTAGCCCCAGCTGTCCTGGAACTCACTATGTAGACCAGGCTGGCCTCAAAGCTTCACAAAGATCTGCCTGCCTCTGCCTCCCAAGTACTGGGATTAAAGGCGTGTGCCACCATGCCTGACCTACATTTTTCTTTTTAAAAAAGTATTTAATTTTTGTTTACATTTTATGTGTATGAGTGTATTTCCTATATGCATGTAAGTGTACCTATGCCATGTAATGCCTGTGAAGGTCAGAAGAGGGTGTAGGATTCCCTGGAACTGGAGTTACAGAGTTGTTAGCTGCCATATGGTTGTTGGGTATTGAACCCGGGTCTTCTGCAAGAGCAGCCAGTGCTCTTAACAGCTGAGCCATTTCTCTAGCCCCCTTGAAATTTTTCAAAAAATAAAGTATTATAAATGATAACATAATATAAATGGAACCATAAACAGGAATCTTAACCAGGCAAGGGGTCAAAAATATACTTTGATTTAGACACACCCAGAAAGAGGCCACACTGCCCATCTCCTGGTCCTGGACCTCACACTTCCTCTTCTCTCCCTCTTCCTCAACTGTAGATGAGATGAAGGAAGTTAGGATACAAGCTCTTCCATCTACAAATTCCTGAAAGTAAATAAGGGAAAGCCTGGGCATGTTGTACACACACAGAATTCTAGTCAGAAGCCTTGGAAGATCAAGGTCATCCTTGGCTACCTAGTGTGGTTAGGGTTAGAATGCGCTACATGAGACTCTGACTAAAAAGAAGTGTGTGTGTTTGTGTATGTATGTATGAATATATATATATATATATACACACATGCTTGGGTGCATATATATGTATATGTATAAATACATATATGTATACACATATTTGGGTTGTGTCTGTAAACTATGTACGTGGATCAACATTTGGCAGTGATGTGAAATAAGAAAATTTCTTCTTATTTGAACATGCTTTCAGGATTCCATGATAGTGAACTCTGATTATCATACAAGTGAAATTTAGATATCATTCACCAGGACTTTTAACATTCTCTCATTTTGTTAAGTAAACGTCCATCCTAAATTGCAATCCCAAACTCACCAGAGGTTTCATCTACTCTTTCGTCTACGACATGGTCCTTCTGATGAACCCACTCACTGTTGCATTTGAAGTAGATCTGGGTGGCAGGGCTGGCTTTACAATACAGGTTCACAGGCTTGTTTTTCACAATATAAGCTTCTTCAGGCTCAATAAGGAAGTGTGGCAATGGCTCTGGTGGATCAGATGGAAAGGTTTCTGGGAGCTCATGAAAAAAGTCATCATCTGCCAAACAAAAAGAAAGTGGAAAATGGTCAAAATATATAGCAACTTGGTTTTTGGTTGCTATTCATTTAAAAATAATGATTTATGTATAAACAAATGGAGTGTTTAGAACCATCGTATGGGCAAAGCAGTATTTACATCTCTTGATTTGCTGACTAATAAAGAACCAGGATTATTATTATCTTTTCTATATACAACAAAACTCAATCCAACCATAATAAGTAACATTGAAAACACAGGAAGCAGGTTCAGAGTCTCCCACTGAAATGGTGATATTCCTAATAAATATATACATTTCCCAGTGTGGAGTTACTACTGAAAGGTGAAACAAAGAAAAGCTGCTATTGTTAAAGATTTGCTTAGGTTTTACTCTAGCTGAGTAGAAACATGAATTAAAGTTCTTTACCTTCAGATTTAAATTAATCATTAGTTTCAAAACATGACACTCTAAAGAACCTTTACTCTTTCATTCAGCAAAATATTAAACTAACCAAAAATTACCTAAGCACGACAGATGGACATTTCAATTTGGTCAATAGTACAGTTGTAGTAGATAGACTTCCAGTTTAGAAATGCTGCCTTGTCTAATTTTGAAAATGTACTTCAGATGCTACATGGCATTACATATCTGTTAGAATATACTTGAGTTTTATCATAAACAAATCTCATTTTTATAGCTTTGAAAGTGGTCATACATGCTGCCCTACTCTGATTTATCAATACCATTGAATAAACACACCCTAAAGCCTTTGTAGATATTTTCACATTTTGGTAACAGATTGTGATTTTAATGTGGATTGCACATGATATCATTTGAAAAATCATAAATGTGTTTTCTAATAAATAGCTGATGCTGTGTTTTATAAAATATAAGATAAAAGGAGTCTTTTCAATTCACTGTGTATGGTGTTCCTGATAATTATTTTCCTGTGAGGGACAGAAAGGAACAATCCACTAGTAGTCCTTAAAAGTGCTAATATATAGGTTAAAAACTCCTAGGTCAAAGGACGGAACAATTACAATGTGTGTGCCATAACAGACAGGATGTGGTATTGATATTTAGAGACTGCTCAGATATTACCTTGAAACTCATTAAATTATGCATTCAGTTGCTCTCCCATTTTGGGAGCTGGCCATTGGTGAAGTGGACATCTGTCCACTAACAAATCTGGCCTGCGACTTTTTTTCATCTAGGTCATGGGATAGCTTTCAAATAGTAATGACACCCAGTTGTTGCCAATCGGTTTTGTAGTAGAAATTGGCTTCACTTGCATCACAGAAAAAAACTAGTTTTTCAAGTTGCTCCAGCACAGCCAGTTCCTGATACTGTGTAAATATTGTTTGTTGCAGCTAGCTTTCTTCCTTACTTTATCTCTTCAGTTTCCTTTTCTTCTACCAAGACATTATTTGTAGTTTTTCTATTGGCTAACGAGGACCCAATCTGTCAGCTTACTAAAGAATAACCTTGTTTACATAAATTTCAACTCTGTTAGTCAATATTTAAGAAGACACAAAACTGTTTAAATAAACAGCTAGAAGAACAAAGGGTAAGAGATTGAACTATTGAGAGATCTGTCTTGCAAAACTGATGTACTAAAAGCCTTACCCAATCTTTCTTCTTCCTTCCAGGGAAATTCCTGTTCCATGTAAGGATGCACTGTGCTGACTATCAATAAAGATCCGCAAAATATGGGATTCAAATTTTACCAAGCCATAGTTATTGTTTCATTATTATTCATGAAGGCAAATCAGATGGTAAACTAAGAGTCTGCTTTACTTTTCTGTTGGATTATGTTTGCATACACAACACATAAACATGGAAATGCACTTAAAACTATTTATTACAGGAACCAGGATAATGGAAAGGAGCCAGGGAGGTTCCTGGAAATGAAAGAACCTGAATGAGAAGAACAGTAAGAAACAGGTGTTAATAAGGGAGATATGGATAAAAATTGGGTTAGTTTAAGGGAGGGGGGAGGGAAGGGTATACAAGGAACCTAGGGGATAAAAGGAAAGAAGGAGCTCAAGAGAGGTAGGACCATAAGAGAAGGGCATTGTTAAGGGAGAAAGGGAGAAAATGGGGGCACTTTAATTGGAGAAACAATTATGGAGAGGTTAGATAATGCCAGAGATAAATAAGGCCTAGCTAGTTTCAAAAAAACAGAGGGAACCATATTAGTCCAACAACCTACTGACAAATTATCAAGAAATTACCTAGACATATATTTCTTGACAAAGATCAAGAAATGTATGTCTAGGTAAGGTTTATAGAAGAACAATTGGTCTTTGCCCAAGATTTATCTACATGACACTCAGTAGTGAAAAGTACCAGACTGCTGGAACTAACCTTCTTGGATGTTTAACAGACGTACTTTGAGGCCTATAATAATTTGGTCAGAGGGACACAAAGGACAGTTTTTACTCCTTGCCCTCCTAGGTTGACTAGTTCCAGGGGACTATGAGCATCTCTCAAAATGTCCTGTAATGGTGGTGGGTCACCTGTCCTCTTGACCAAGGAGGCCGAGGAGACCCCACCATACGGACTTGAACCAGTGTCCAGTTTACAAAGAGGAAGGTCAACACAGAGGAATTATTTCCTCCATGCTTCCAAGCGAAGCCAGCCATGGTCGAGCAGGACCTTTGATTTAACTTCACATAGGCAGAACTGGTAAAAGAAAGGAGCCAGGGGCTCCTCCCAAGCCCATGTGACCCCTGAGGAACAGATCCTCAAACGACCTTAAGAGCAAAAATAAATTGGTTTATCTGGGCCAACTGTATAGCCTTAAACACCCAAAAGGAAAGTATAACCAAAGATTAAAGGGGCCAATATAATTTTTAAGAGTCCATATGTATACCTAAAGGGTACATAACAAGCAACAATGCCAAATAGGAGATACCTTCTTTTGAGTTGTTGGCCAGGGTGGCCAAAGGGACTCCCAGATAGTAACCTAGAATAAAACTAGGAAAATAAACAGCAGACCCCAATCTTATCTAAAGGAATACTGACAACCGATTGCTGCTAGATGAGGAACACCTGACCTTCCTAAAACAAAGACCTCTAGATGGGCTGACTTGATTCACCAGATGGACAAGTAGTGGGGAACGGCTGGGGGGGGGCGACAACACAGTGGACAGTAGCAGGGATAACAGAGGTATAAGGGCTGTAGTGGGGGAGGGAGGCTTTGGGACGGTGTTATCTGGGAAGTGGGTGTATAGTTGAATAAAATGGTTTGGGATATTCTGTGTGATATACACCGACACACACAAAAATCAACAAACTAAAAAATGTATTATATTTGAGTAGGAAGCATAAAAATTTACATCATGTTAATTAGTAGAGGTGATAAACATTACCATTGACATCTACCCAATGACTTTATAGATATACACAAGTGCCAAGGATCCGAGTACAACCAATTATGACTGGTAATAATCAGATACAAACAGATTAGAGACGCATGCACCAACATCTCAGTGTTAGTAGAAGAAACAATGAATCTTTCTGTAAGAAACAGTATATTTTAAAATGAAATGGAGATCTTTTTTAAAGGTTAAAAACTCATCAAATTTAAGTATAAGTCTTACAGGGCTTATACTGTCTTCAATATTGTATAACTGTATTAATTCAACAGCAATCCTAAAAATTTTATAGCCACTTTTGAAAGAGATGTATCCTTGCTCTGGAGTGTGTTACTGAATATGTTAAAGCTATAATGAAATGCTTCTTTTAATCATGTGGTTATTAAATTTTTTTAAAAAATTTAAAAAATAATAATTCTTCAAAGCATAAACATTTGCTCCTTAATAGTTAGTAGATGTGAAAAACATTACCATTGAAGTCTACCTGATGACTTTATATCCATGCTCAGATGCCAAGGAGCTCAGAAAGTAACTGACTGTGACTAACAATAAGTAGATATATAGAGATTAGAAACGCATATGCAAACATCTTAGTGTCAGTTGCATTAAAAATGAATTTTTCTGCATGAAACCGTGTATTTTAATAATGAAATGGAGATCTTTTGTAAAGGTTAAAACCTCATTTAATTTTATGCCTTACAGGGTTTATACTGAGTACAAGATTCTATAACTGTATTAATTCAACTGTCAACCTAAAAATTTACAGCCAATTGTGAAAGAGATGCACCTTAGCTCTGGAAATTGTTATTGAATGTCAATGCTGTTGTAATGAAATGCTTCTTCTAATTACATGGTTATTAAATAAATTATTAAAAAATAATAAATTAATTAAACAAAACAAAACAAAAAAACTATTTACTACGCATGTGAAAGTTTAAGAAATCTTTCAGCTACTATTATAAGTAAAACTTGTTTCTTTAAAAGAAATGATTTGCAAGCTACTAGGTGACTATACACTGTTTTCTTTAGCAATGGAGCATAAATACTTGTATTTTCTTATCCTGGAGAAGACTTCATAGAGATGTCAAAACTCGGTTATCTTGCTTTGCCAAAAGCATGCATCTCTTCATTCTTATTATTTTATTGTCAACTATGGAGAGAATTAAAACTAAAAGAAGAGGGGAAATGATATGCATATTTTCAAGTTGAAAGAGGCTCAGTTAAATAACAAGGGGAAAGGTAATTATTTAATAAAGCATCTAGAAAATATATGCACAAATAATTTGGCATTTCCTCAGTTCTGAGTTTTAACATAAAAGGATCACTACAAGTGAAAAGAAATAAACTAATGTGTAGGATTGAAGTTTCACACAGTAGTGATTTGTCAAGTTGCTTGTTAACACTTACAATGAAATATATTTAGAGAAATTTACAGAATCATTTCTGTCATTAGAAATGTTCTCTTCATGTGATAAATTCTGCATTTATTTTACATATCATTATCTTTTTCATTTCCATAGAACTCATTTCTTTTTGTTCCTGTAGTGATGCCTCAGAAACAATAGCATATTAGCTTAATATTTCTATAATGTTCATACTACAAATTCTATTCTGTGTCCTAGATGAAGCCACATTACACA